GACATTCATTTTAATAAGTGAGAGTATCCGAGTCTAGTATATTATTACAACATTTTAATTCAGAGAAATCCGAATTGGGTAAAACACTTCTCAGTTTTAGGCTGGTTATGCTCATGAACCACTTAAGCTTAATCATGAGGAACTTAAGCTTTAAACCTCTTGACACAAGAGCACTGGTATTCATCAAGTTTCACCAGAACGCACGTGGTCCTCCCGACTCATTTCCTGTACCGGTAACCCTAGCACACTGCTTTAGAGAAGTGACTTTGCATAGTCATCAGAACAAAGGAAGATATTTTACTACACACGTCAGTATATTCTCCTCACAATCTTGGTAATCAAATCTTTTTTTTTTAATACCTGTCGTTTTATATTAGGGAAATAAACGGCACGTTTTTAATTTATATGAATTGTGCGCCAAATTACACAAAGTCTCTTAGACTTTACATTTGTATAAAAGACACGTTTTTATTTTTTTCCTGACATTTAATCTGTAAAACCTTACCCAAAAATGTATTAACGTTCAAGAAAAATAAATCAATAAAATGAAACATTTAACAGTTAATAATTCGTGGAGTTCAAATACCTACCAAAAATAACTTCGCAAGCTCAATGCTTAAACTTACAGGATTCTAGTACATCACCTTAATATTAAAATAATGATCCATAATTTAAAATGCGGTGTCAAAAACCGTTACCACAGACGATGTAAAACACCTTCCACTATCTTTAACAATAATGACACCTCTTTATAAGTTAAACAAACGTTTTTATACTCACCATTTTCGGACTTTTTGTTAAAAAAAATATGAGGGCATGGAAATCGTAGGTTTTCTGTTATTAGCGCTCTCACAAGCCGACTTTTATGAGTCTGGTGAGAATGAAATGCCTGAAAAAGGCGGGTGGGGATATTTATACTTTTCTGTCAGCCGTCACCAAGGCGGAGCGCGCGCGAGGAGACGTTTCGCTTCCTGTCACATCCCCATTGGTTCGTCTGAGGGTCAGTGGCACCCCATTGGCTGATTCTAACCTTTGAACAATAACGTCTGTGACAGGAAAATGCTGTACGAGGCGGGACGAACTTGAGCAATAATGGATGTTAGTCATATGAAAAATTAACATTTAATACAATTAAAGAAAATGAACCTCTTTTGTCTTTGATGTTTTTGTATAAATTGGGTGTGTAGCACTGTACTTAATTATGGGCATAGATATGGCTGTTGTTCTATTTAAATACATGTATTTCGCATTAGCCTACTAATGAAGTCATCAACAATGTGCATATTGTTCATTCTTTGCTTACACAATTACCTGCCATTTAGGGGGAAAACATAAAGGCACAGTTTATCTCATTAATCAGAGTCTTGGCATGAGGAAACATTCTTGGTAATTCAGATTAAATAAAATACACCCAAAGCTTATCATTTTATGCTAATTATATGTTCGTCAGAAAACCACACAACTATGGTTCACTTGTATGAAATGTAATCCTATATCTCAGTACTTAATTTGTAAATGAAACATTGTCGGATCCAAATCAGCAGTTAAAAGGCGCCGTGACCGACACTGACAATACAACTTCAGTTCCCTCTCATAGGCTCACTTCCATGCTGCGATGACGTCATCGCTTTGGGAACACCTTCGGTGTGACGAATGTCTGAAGCCCTTATACCATCACGCCAATTCATTGGCCAAATAGTGCTTAGCACCGCCCCAATGCGCACATAGGTGAGCTATATAGCGTGCTGCGCACTATTTTCATCAGATTTCATTTCCTTCAGGAAGCGAATCATCTGTCGCCCGTAGGAAAGCGTTCTTAGTCGTGTTCTTAGCTAATTCTTTCAAAAGAGCAGTTTACTCCTCTTCAGCGGACACGATGAGCTACAGGAGGTGCATCGAGCCGTGTGAAAGGTTCATCGCAGGAGGAGACACTCATGACAGGTGCGTGCAATGTTTGGGCCTACAACACGAACAGTTTCTAAAATGGCGGATCACGGATACGCGGCGATGTCGGCCGTAGAAGAGACTCTCGCGGCACATCTCGCTCCAAATTCCGCTCCGTCTTGGAAGTCACGCCCTTTGCTGCCATCCAAGCCGTGTAGGGTTACTTCCGCTTTGATCGGAAAATCTTACATGGCCGCTGGGCAGGCCGTGGCTACACTCCATTCTATGGGTGTACTCCAGGCTTATCAGGCAGACAATGTTTGGGCCTACAACACGCCCAAGCGGCGCTTAGCGGCCTTTCTGATTGTCGACACTGTGATAGCCTACGGCTAAAAGCACTGCGCTCGAGGTTCGCGGCCTTCTCAAATAAAGTAGGCCTCGCGTCTAACCCCCGCTATCCCGTTTCTGCGGTTGCCGAGGCGCCGCACGAGACGGTCGCTTGGGGTGACGCATGCGAGCCGAGGCGCTTAGAGGGTGAGTCAACGGAGTTTTCTCCTTTTCTCTCGCTCTCTCCAAGCCATGTGCAAGCGCTCGAGGAGTGCTACGGGGATCCCGTGGTCTTCGTCAATGATAATTTGCGGCCTACGCCGGAAGCTTGCGATGCGATGTCTTTCGGTTGTATGCCATATGACGAAGACGTGCTGTCCACAGCGGCCTCCGATTCGGAGGATTTATTGGGTGAAGTGTGCAGTTCTCTCCCTCCGAGCGGACAGGAGAAATGTACCTCCCCGTCTTACAGCGAACTATTAGACGTTGTAACGCACGCTGTGGATAAGCTGGGGTTAGAATGGGATAGCGAGCCGGCGCAAAATCAGACCCAGTCGAAACTGGACGATCGTTTTTTGTCAAGCCGCACTCCGTCTCAGCCCCGTAGGCCTCTCCCCTTCTTCTAAGACCACCACCACGAGGTTTCGAGGTCTTGGAAACAACCTTTTTCGGCGCGCATCACTAATCCCGCTGCCGCTGATTTCGCCACAGTTTCTAAAATGGCGGATCACGGCTACGCGGCGATGCCGGCCGTAGAAGAGACTCTCGCGGCACATCTCGCTCCAAATTCCGCTCCGTGCTCCCAGCAGTTCTGTTCAGAATACGATCAGACAGAGTGGAGCACCTGCTGCTGGTGGCCCCGTGGTGGCCCACTCAGTCGTGGTTCTCGGACCTGGTCAGTCTGTTAGCCGGCCCTCCATGGGAGGTTCCCCTCAGACACGATCTGTTGATGCAAGCTCGGGGCATGATCTGGCATCCTCGACCGGATTTATAGAGGTTATGGGTGTGGCCTCTGAGCGGACTACGCTAATGTGTTCTGGTCTCTCGGCTGAGATTACCGACACCATTATAAATTCTGGCCTATCTGACATAAATAATTAACAGATATAAAACAGATTTGAGGCGCGGCGATCCGCAAACAGGTTCACGGAAAGGAAACCCAGAACTGAGATGACAGAACGCGCATCCTGTTTGTTTGTTTAATTACAAAACACAAATGTTATTTTTATTGCGAGTGTGCAAAAATAAAAGTAAAAATTTACATTTACATTTAGTCATTTAGCAGACGCTTTTATCCAAAGCGACTTACAAATGAGGACAATGTAAGCAATCAAAATCAACAAAAGAGCAATGATATACAAGTGCTATAACAAGTCTCAGCTTAATGTAGTACAGGTAGCAAGTTTTTTTTATTATATAGGCCTAATAAATAAAAAGAAAACAGATAGAATAGAAAACGAATAGAGCAAGCTAGTGTTAGAGGCCTTTTTTGCTTTTGTTAATAAATAAAAAGAAAAGAAATAGATAGCCTAGAATACAAAAAGAATAGAGAAGCTAGTGTTCGTTTTTTTTAATTATTATTATTAACACTTTGTGGGTTATCTTACTCTTATCTGTATGACCAAAAATGGAGTAGGCTAGGCAATTTAATGTGTCATATGTTTGATCGAGCCGGCGCCTCGCACACACACACACACACACACACACACACACACACACACGCATGTGAAGAGGATGATTTTTTCCCGTCGATATGCGAACGCGCATGAAGCCTAGTCTATATTATAAATAATAGTTTAACATTGAAATACATTGCGAATATGGAAACATTGGATTTGTGCCGAATGAGAGAGGTACGTGAGGCCAATCAGGTAGCCTACTTTCAGTTTCGCTTTGTTTTGGTTTCTTTGGCTTTATATTTTTTTTCATTCTTGATCTGTTCTGCATACCGTTACATTTAAATGATTTGTTTTGGAGTGAGGGGAACTAGGCTATGATTATAGTGTTTATAATATTTATACATTATAACATTTCACTGTATTTGGTATTATTTCTGGTATTATTACAGAAATTCACTTGTTAATGCCGGATCTTTAAAAACAAATACCGGAATGCAAAAATCCAAAATCTAACATCTAACATTTTCCGGAACAGGATCCGGCTCAAATTAAGCACTGCATCTGCGCTGCCCAAAACTTACACAAACTGAATTGTTCTTATGGAAATGTTGCTGCAAGGAAAATATCTTTTTTGAAACTGGATCATAAAGAATGAAAATGAAATAAAATAAAAGACTTTTATAGCAATGAATGCTACTTTATTGTTTGTTAAGTCTAATGGTTCTCTACATGATGTGTAGCTGTTACTTTCTGGATGGTACCCAAGTAAGGAGAACAGCTTTTTACTTGTACAGTAATTTCTGTGTCATTCATAGGCCCTGATGTATTCCATCTAACATGTACATTTTCCTCAATATTGGTGTGCAACAAAAGTGTTATGTTGAAAGATGGTTGAACTTGAGCATTCCCACTTTTTTACTTTTAAAAACTTTAATAATTATATGTCACCTGTTCTACTGTTGATCTTTAAAACACTATCATTGCTTATATCTGTTATAGCCTACATAAATATACACAATAATTTAACAGAAGACAAATTGTTTGAAAAGGAGCTTTATTTCAGATGTCCAAAGAACTGTCTTTATCTTTTTCATTGGTGGTAAGGTTTATTTTTCACTGCTTGAATTTTTCCATGTCATGGTTCCTGCATGTTGCTCCTCATTCTGTCATTTAATACTCCTCGCCCTCCTCTTCTCCCTCACCCTCAACAGAATCAACACCGACCTCCTCATAATCTTTCTCCAGCGCAGCCACGTCCTCTCTGCCCTCTGAGAACTCACGGTACAGCAGGCAGCAAGCCATGTACTTGCCGTGACGCGGGTCGCATTTCACCATCTGATTAGCTGGCTCGAAGCAAGCATTAGTGATTTCAGACACAGAGAGCTGCTCATGGTAAGCCTTCTCTGCGGAGATCACTGGGGCATAGGTAGCCAATGGGAAGTGGATACGAGGATAGGGCACCAAATTAGTCTGGAATTCTGTAAGATCGACATTGAGGGCACCATCAAACCTGAGGGAAGCTGTGATGGAGGACACAATCTGGCCAATGAGCCTGTTGAGGTTGGTGTAAGTAGGACGCTCAATGTCGAGGTTCCTACGGCAGATATCGTAAATGGCCTCATTGTCTACCATGAAGGCGCAGTCAGAGTGCTCTAGGGTAGTGTGGGTGGTCAGGATGGAGTTGTAAGGCTCTACCACAGCGGTGGAGATCTGAGGAGCGGGGTAGATGGAGAACTCCAGCTTGGACTTCTTGCCATAGTCCACAGACAGACGCTCCATCAGCAGAGAGGTGAAGCCAGAACCGGTTCCACCACCAAAGCTGTGGAACACCAGGAAACCCTGGAGACCTGTGCACTGGTCAGCCTGAAAAGAAACAGTTTGGAAATTAACCCAACATAATATATAATTCATTTTATGTTCATTTATTTACAACTACCTACCAGTTTGCGAATCCTGTCCAGCACCAGGTCAATGATTTCTTTTCCAATAGTGTAGTGACCACGGGCGTAGTTATTGGCAGCATCTTCCTTTCCTGTGATGAGCTGCTCAGGGTGGAACAGCTGACGGTATGTCCCAGTGCGCACCTCATCTGGAAAGATGGTCAATGTTTAGTGACCGGAGCACTATGACATACACAATCATCATAAATTAGTCCCATCCTCTTACCAATGACAGTGGGCTCCAGGTCTACAAACACAGCCCTGGGGACATGCTTTCCAGCTCCGGTCTCACTGAAGAAGGTGTTGAAGGAGTCATCACCTCCTCCAATGGTCTTGTCGCTGGGCATCTGCCCATCTGGCTGGATGCCGTGCTCAAGACAATAGAGTTCCCAGCAGGCATTGCCGATCTGGACTCCAGCTTGACCAACGTGGATAGAGATGCACTCACGCTGTGGTTGATGCCAACCTTGAAACCAGTGGGACACCAGTCCACAAACTGGATGGTGCGCTTGGTCTTGATGGTGGCGATTGCGGCGTTCACGTCTTTGGGCACCACGTCACCACGGTACAGCAGGCAGCAAGCCATGTACTTGCCGTGACGAGGGTCGCATTTCACCATCTGATTGGCTGGCTCGAAGCAAGCATTAGTGATTTCAGACACAGAGAGCTGCTCATGGTAAGCCTTCTCTGCGGAGATCACTGGGGCATAGGTAGCCAATGGGAAGTGGATACGAGGATAGGGCACCAAATTAGTCTGGAATTCTGTAAGATCGACATTGAGGGCACCATCAAACCTGAGGGAGGCTGTGATGGAGGACACAATCTGACTGATCAGCCTGTTGAGGTTGGTGTAAGTCGGACGCTCAATGTCGAGGTTCCTACGGCAGATATCGTAAATGGCCTCATTGTCTACCATGAAGGCGCAGTCAGAGTGCTCTAGGGTAGTGTGGGTGGTCAGGATGGAGTTGTAAGGCTCTACCACAGCGGTGGAGATCTGAGGAGCGGGGTAGATGGAGAACTCCAGCTTGGACTTCTTGCCATAGTCCACAGACAGACGCTCCATCAGCAGAGAGGTGAAGCCAGAACCGGTTCCACCACCAAAGCTGTGGAACACCAGGAAACCCTGGAGACCTGTGCACTGGTCAGCCTGAAAGACATGATTCATGTTAAAAAGGCAATCAAGTTTTTTTATGTTTTAATTAGTCATAATTTAACGCCACTTAACTTTAAAGGAGTTATTAAATTAATGACTAACCAGTTTGCGAATTCTGTCCAAAACAAGATCAATAATTTCCTTTCCAATAGTGTAGTGACCACGGGCGTAGTTATTGGCAGCATCTTCCTTTCCAGTGATGAGCTGCTCAGGGTGGAACAGCTGACGGTATGTACCAGTGCGCACCTCATCTGGAAAGATGGTCAATGTATAGCGAACGGAGCGCTTTGACATACAGAATTATCATCACTAAAATTAAGTCCCATCCTCTTACCAATGACAGTGGGCTCCAGGTCTACAAACACAGCCCTGGGGACATGCTTTCCAGCTCCGGTCTCACTGAAGAAGGTGTTGAAGGAGTCATCACCTCCTCCAATGGTCTTGTCGCTGGGCATCTGCCCATCTGGCTGGATGCCGTGCTCAAGACAATAGAGTTCCCAGCAGGCATTGCCGATCTGGACTCCAGCTTGACCAACGTGGATAGAGATGCACTCACGCTGTGAAGAAAATGTTAAAAGTCAAACTAAACAAATATCACTGCACTATATAAATGTCACTCACTTGTAAAGCTTTAGCATGTCAAACTGTATTTCACCCAACATTGGAACTTCTAAGGCTACACTTACAGCCTGTATATCCTGTTTCTGTGCAATTATATCCTAGTGAGATATCATGTCAGAGGAAGTGATCACATAACACCCTCAACTGCTGGTTTACTGGCCATGTCCATCAGCTGCATTAGTGATGCTGCCTACATCATCATGAATATTTAACAGCTTCACCAACAGCCCTGAAATGCGATACGATTTCTACAAAGAAATTTAATCGCAAGGATCGTCCCTCGAATAAACCGTTTTTTTTTATTTTTTTTTTATTCTTAATAGTACATATGATTTAAAAAAATATTTAAAAAATTAATGACCATATCCTTTGGGAGGCGCTGCATCTCTCTCTCTCTGTCTCTCTCTTTCTCTTTCTCTCTCTCTCTCTCTCTCTCTTTTTTGGTCCATTGATTCAATATGACACCGTACCGGACAGCATGGAGCCGGCTACACCCAGATTATTTATGCGGCTCCATTCTCTTTGTTGTCTCGTTCTAGCGTGCTCCATATTCCCAAAACCTATTATTTTTTCCATATTCTTTCTTAGTTTATAAACACATCCATGACTATATTATGTAGCCTATGTAAAATACATACATTTAAATACATAAATTAATTTAAAATAAATGGGGGAAAAAAGGATTTCAAACACATCATTTACAAAACCAACGCGTTTTTGAGATAGTGATTTAAAAAAAATATATATTAAATCGTTTCTTTAAAAGGTATGTTTTTCATAAAGGTATTTTTTTTTTATATATATAGGCCTACCCGAAATATGATTTAAATACGCGGTTAACATAAGATACATTAAAAGCCAGTCAATAAACCGAATAAAAAATGGTTACTTCTATAAGTAATCAATATTAAGTATATGAAGTCGTGCTCACCATTGTTCCTGTTAGTGTTGCTTGGCCGGGTGAGAAAAGATTCTTGACGGAAAGATCTTACAGTTCGACAACTAAGGGGTCGATGTAAGAATAATAACATTATAACGGACTGACCTCACTTTATATATGAATGTTGCCCAGGCGACTACGTTTCTTACCTTTGATTGGTCAGACGCGGTGAAATCTGCCCAGTTCGGAGGGCTAGACGAATTTCTATTGGTTGTCAGGAAGATTAAGGTTAGTTAGACACCTCCCAGAACCTCACCCAATAGATCTTGAAACACTGAATCATACTAAAAAACGTTTTATTCCAAGACTTAATTGTTTCGGAATCAAAGATTTTGACCAAAATCAACTATCAAATCTTAAGAATGTTGCTTTAGTCAGCTGCTAGAAAGGAGAAAGGGTGAAACTGTAATTTGATGTACGCTTGGTACTCAAGTAAATACTCAAGTAAATGTACTTAGTTACTGTCCGCCTACATGATCTTCTGACGTGACAGATGTTATTCTAAGACTGGGTTACAGATGACTGTTGTACAACATATTCTATAACTCAAGAAATAATAGCTTATGATAATCAGCAGCCATTAATCAGCATCTCTTCACTACGCTTGGTCTCCATCAACATCCTTTTATGCTTTTAATGACTCAAAATTGGTTGCATTAATATAACCGTATACATCAAGTAATAGCCTATACATCAAGCTTTTTTTAAATGTTTTTTTTAGTTGTATAACATCTGAACCTTTATGTACTAGCATCTCTGTGTAACTTGATCAACCTATTCTCCATCTGTTCTCTTTGATACCTTCTGCCCCCTTTGAGAGCTTTGCCTGAGGTACATTTTGGAGTTAGTTGTCACATATTCTTTTCCCATTCTTTAAACTATTATCTTTGTGCTAAAAAAAAAAGAACTAATAGAGGGACTATTATATATAGTTTAACCAAGTTGCACTTAAACCAATTTCAAATGAGCTACTGGGATGAAATTACTATCATAGGCCTACACAGAGGCGGACAAAGTACACAACTGCTGGTCAAATATTACTCCATTACAAGTAAAAGTTGTAAAGACAGATTTTTACTTAAGTAAAAGTACAGAAGTACTTGCTTTTAAAAGTACTTAAGTACCAAAAGTAAATTTCCTTTGTCAATGCACTGTTTTATTATTGTTGTATGTAATACTTGCAATACCTCTGAAATAACTTACAATACTGAATACACTGACTAGCTTGTAGTATATTTGATATAAAGAGCTTTTAGAATGTTAAAAACCTATGGGGAAAAAACAAAACAAAAAATTACTGATAAACTGTCTGAAAAAAGAAAGTCACGGTTTAGAGAAGAAAAAAACCACCCACTGATTTTCAAAGCTGCTAACGACTTTCTACTTCGAGGACCTTGATAGAAATGTAGTGGAGTGAAAAGTACAATATTTGTCTTTCAAATGTAGTGAAGTTAAAGTCATAAGTTTCCAGAAAAAAATAATACTCAAGTACAGATACTCAAAAAGTGTTCTTAAGTACAATACTCAAGTAAATGTACTTAGTTACTGTCCGCCTACATGATCTTCTGAGGTGACAGATGTTATTCTAAGACTGGGTTACAGATGATGTTGTACAACATATTCTATAACTCAAGAAATAATAGCTTATGATAATCAGCAGCCATTAATCAGCATCTCTTCACTATTCTTCACTAAAATGCATATGAATATGAATTCAATGGTTACTGAAATGTTTAAAATGTTGCGTCATAAATGTATGAGGTGAAATGACCCTGCATAGACATTGGGGGTATATAGGCCAGGGACTAAGACACCCAACCCCCCATTCCCTCCTCCCAGGCTCCAGCCGTTGCTAAGAGATGAATAACGGACCGACTAGTATCCTGGATATAATACACAAGCCTACATTAACCGCCATTATGTATAGATCACATGACCCCGAATCTGAATAGCAGCACTCAGGGGAGGATGCAGCTGCCCCAGCAGGGAGTGAGGGGAAGGCCCATCCTTTTTAACACCAACTCTTCCATCTGGCCCTATTTACCGGTAGTTACCCCAATTCCACATTCTGATTCTGTCATCATCAACAGAGCATCTATCTGTCTATCTATCTATCTATCTATCTATCTATCTATCTCATCTTATACTTGAATTTAAAACATTGTATTGCAATTGATGAATGCAAAATTCTTACTTTAGCCTATATTACAGTTTGGTTAAAACCAGTTCATTCCTAAATGTCCTTTCCCCCCTCTTCTCTCTCTTTCTCTTCCCTTTCCTTGTTTTCATGCATGAGCTTTCATTTGACTGTTTATAGTCTGGTTGCTAACAACAGTTCAGCAGTGAAGACAATAAGCCTATAGGTCTCATATAGCTCCTCAGACATGTTTAGAATAATAACGCTTACATATTCCTTAGGAATTCACTGTAGTCTTAAATTATATAAACATTTGTGTTCATAATATATAATGTTATGTATATATTTGATAACTTTTAACTTTTCTTTATATATATATATATATATATATAAAGATATATTTGTGTGTGTGTGTGTATGTATGTCTGCATGTATATGAGCAATGAACATTCTTGCATGTTAGCCCTTTCATTTTGCAATTTTGTATGCTTAATGCCAGATCAATCAACTGCTCAAAAACAGATTACATCCCTGTAGTTTTTTTCAGCATAATCTCTGATTATGCTCACTGCAGTGCACAACCCATTAAGACAAGGCCCAAAAATCAATA